GGTCAAATAAGCACCGTTTTGTTCTACAGTTTGTCGCCAATTTAAAGGTAATTTCATGATCCTTCTTTCATAGAAGCCCTGGTCCTTATTTGCAAAAAACTCGACTAAGCGATTTTCACAGTCTTCTCTTGAGGTCAATTTCTTACCATCAAGGAAGTTTTGCAATGACAAAAACAGATGGTAATCGCTTGGTGCCAGGTCCGGACTATAAGGTGGATGCATCAAAACTTCCTAACCAAGCTCCCGGAGTTTCTGACGAGTCACTATAGACGTATGTGGCCTGGCATTGTCCTGATGAAAAACAATTCCTCTCCTATTGACCAATTCTGGCCGCTTCTGGTCGATCGCTAGCTTCAAACGGTCCAATTGTTGACAATAGAGGTCCGAATTTAGTGTTTGGCCATATGAAAGCAGCTCATGGTGGATGATTCCTTTATTAGTCCCACCAAACACTCAGCAAAACCTTCCTGGCCGTTAATCCTGGTTTGGCCACCGTTTGAGCCGTTTCGCTGCGCTTTGACCACGATCATTTTCGCACAATATTGTCGTATGTAATCCATTTCTCATCCCCAGTCACCATCCGTTTCAGAAATGGCTCGATTTCGTTCCGTTTGGTCAAGGCTTCGCAGATTGAAATTCGGTCCATCCTGTTTTTTTTGCGTCAATTCGTGTGGCACCCAAACATCGAGCTTTTTTTTGAATCCAGCTTTATGCAAATGGTTTAAAACTGTTTTGTGGTCGATCTTCAGCTCCTGGGCGATATTACGACTGCTAACATGCCGGTCTACTTTGATCATTTCCATAATTTTATTGACATTTTCGACGACGGGCCTACCTGTGCGAGATGCATCTTTAACATCAAAATTACCGGAACGGAATCGACGAAACCAAAATTGCGCGTGATTGGCTGTGACAGTATCGGGACCATAAATACCATTCACAATTTCAGCCGCCTGGCTTGCATTTTCGCCTTTATCGAAGCAAAATTGTAAAATATACCGAATTTTCTCTTTGTTGACGTACATCTTTTACGTGCTATAACTCGCAACTTAATCGACAAATCACAAAACCGTTAAAGAATTTTTTTTAGTACGGAATGTCACTTTTCCAACGAATATAAATATTAATCTATGCGATTAATACATCACGTGATATATACCACTAAAGCCATCTAACGGAAAAATAATGGATTTCTTTTTCCCCAACCTAATATATTTTCTAATAAGAATACGACAATAAATTATGTGAAGACAAAAATTTTTAAAAGATCTTTTCAAATCTTTCGCGCATACTCTTTGTACGCATACCCCTATACATTCTTTTATATAAATATCGATATTTTTCAAAATTATCGATATTATCGTTATCGATATTTTGAGAAATCGTTGCATCCCTAGGCGATACAAACGGTACGGTTTCTCGTCTGGCGTTCTCCTCTGGAACTGCGAAATAGCCCGCCGTTTCGGGAAATGCGGCGAATTGAACGGTTCTCAAGTGCCGGGGAGAGTTGGACCCGGTGATTCGGGATGTGTCGTTTTCAGGCACAACCTGATGATCATCCTGATGAGCACGCGATCGCTTGCGACACGCGATGGCGCCGCCGCTATCGATCGTGACAGGCACGTTCGCAACATTGTGCGCCGTCGTCGTGTGAGACAGTGCATGTCAGCTGTCAAAGTAACCGCCGCGATCAATGAACACCGAGAGAGGCGTAGGCTGCAGTCCGCAAGTTGCAGTTTTCGTTTCGGCGCTCGACCCCCCCCCCCCCGTGAGCTTGGAGACGCGTCTGACGATTGATAACACGTCAGTGGTGCGATTCTTTAGCTCGTTATTGGAGTTAACGAAAGTGTCGTTAACTCCAACAACGAATCAAAGAATCGCGCTACAGGCGGACTATTAATAATTTTGACGTAAGGTGATTGTTATACGTAACACACTCGGAGATTCGGACTAAAAATTAAACTTTTCCGTCGAATACACAAATGCAACGTCACGTGTATCACAGGCTTGAAATAAAAAAAACTCGGGTCCGGATTCTCGAATTCGGATCTAAATGTGAGGTAAGTTTGAAGTAACGATTACGTTAACGTGAGTCTCAGAGTCGAAGCGAAAAAGAAGAGCTTTTCGCGAATTGATCCTTGAGAAGAGACGAACGTCACGAAGTCACGTTCCTCGATTAGTCTCATGTAGCTTTTGCTCAATTTGGCGCAATTTTAATTCAAGCTAGAGTTGGATGGAAATATTCCAATCTGCGTAACGAAATAAGGATTAAAGGAAAACTTGAAGATAGGAAGTGCAATATCTTATCGTGACTGGGGAAATTTACCCGAACATCCTGTTGCTTTAAATCTCGGTTGATACTCTTGAAGACAGACTTGACTGAAGAGACTTGAAAGATTTTCTGTTCAAAATTCAATGGAACAAATGATTGAACAGGAATCTCCGACAGGAATCCTACGGTAGCACGCATTATTCCGCAAAATCCAAATCTCGAAGTTCGAAAATCGATTTCTCAAAAAAATCACGATATACGAATGTAACATTCCAAAATACAAATTTTCTGAGACGCGTAATTGTTCCGAAAAGAATCTATTAATATTATCTTGAATACGAGGCAATATACGCAGTCGCAAGGACACGTACGACTCGCGGCATTCTCGCGGAGGGAAAATTTTTTCGAGATCGTCATTTTTTGGGACAACGCATTCCCACCGAGAATCGCCTATTGAATTGCTCCAAAATTGCTGTCAAAACTAAAATTGCGATCACGATATGCGGGTTGTTCTTCATTTCTTTCGACTGGTGTTGTCAACCGCAGTCACGTACTGCGCGCTTACCGGTGCCGTCCGAGAAGAATAAGTTCCCCATCGATTATCCGAATGATACGAAAGCAACTAAATATAATTATTAAAGCAGTCGTGTGAAAAGTTTATCGGCGACAGTACCTCCATTCGTCGCGGGCACGAATCAACTATCATCCGTGACGCGTTGATTAGCCGGGATCAATCGGGCCGAGCGTGCGACGCGGTCATCGCGAATTAACTGGTGACGATATCCCCAAGAAAAAATAACTATATACGAATCTTTACATGGCCATACATGATCATACGTAATTATACATGTCCCATGGAACAGAAAGAGCACTATACGAATACAATGAAGATAACAACCGTTTGTGGCAGTCCGTAAGACGTGCGATTGAACGCAACAATACTTTTTTTCTTTTTATCTACTACACTTAAAAGCGTTTTCTTTCCGATATACGGGTCACATGTAATTACATATAATTCGCGTATAAGTACATGTAATTTTACATAATTATATATACAATTCTTCCCGCTCGGGTCCTGCTCGTCGCGAGTCGAGTGCAAATAAATACACGAGGGTTTAGTTACTAAAAATGTCGATATATTTGTCCATCCTCGGCGGGAGCGGAGGATAATTGCAATAACTTCGGTTTACAAATTTCATCGTGCGGGGCTGGGGGGGGGGAGGAGGGGCAGTATCGTCGGTGTCAAAGGTCGTTTTGTGCAGGTCGCTCGACCTCGCCGGCCGCATGTCCGCGATTCCATATTACGAAGCGCGGCGCATTAAATGGCGCGTCCCGGTCGCTTCCGCGACGGGAAATCTCACCGGTCGGGGAATGACTTACGAAGGCTGAGATCGAAGGTTTCCGAGACGGAGGTCCGCGAGCCATCCCATCTCATCCTCGCTTTTTTTTGATCCTTCGTTCGCCGACGGCGCCTGAGCCGAAATATCCGGCTCTACGTCCGCCGCTTGATCTCGTCTCGCGTTTTAACCCTTTCGGCACGACAGGACTCGCCACGTGGAGTTAGTCGCGAGGACAGTTACATGCGAGGCATCCTCATGCGTTACGTCCGCCGATGGAGGGGTGGAGGGAAGGTTCAGCTGAATTAGAGCGACGGTGAATGGGTCAAGCGCGTTCCCGAAGAAAGCATAATTTCCGGCTCTCGTGACTCGAATTTGGTTCCGGGAAATCTTCAAAATCGGAGATTCCTTCGACTAAAACGCATTCAGCTCGTTCACATTTTTCTTTTGTTCTTTGCGTAATTATATGTTGATACGTGTGAGAATTACTATTGGCGAAAAATGAAGGATTTTTTTGAAGCTTTATTGGCGCGACAAAGTAAAAAGAAGTGAGCGTTGGAGCAACTGTCGCTCGTGTCGAAAAGGTTAACCCTCGAAACTAGAGTCAAACTTGAGGAGTCGATGGAAAATCCAATCTAAATCTAGATATGACATTACACAGACTATTGTCTTACCTTGATGCTACAAGTAGTTGCTCACTGTCGTTTGCTCAGCGTTGAGGCTCGAGGAAATGTTTATTCAAGAATTACTTCATCTTTTGAGCACTGCTGTGAGCGCGTATACTTGGAGTTCGACTACTTTCGAGAGCTTTCATCTGCAGGGCTCGTTAGCGAGCAGTTAGTGACCGTTTCGACTGTGGGTTTTGTTAAGTTTAGAACACTAATTTATTTCCGTCCCGCTCGGTGTCGTCAGTCGCCAGGACGAAATGTTCGACAATCTTCCGCGCTCAAAAGGGTTAATACTCCATTATCTCAATATTCTACCTGCTCATCCTTCCTTCTTTCAATAAGCTTCAATATGATACTAATAACTTATTCAACTGCAGATAGAATATATGCGATAAGCAAGTGTAAAATGATTAATGTTGATAAATAATAGGAATAATGGGTACGTAGTACAATAAATCTTCTGTTTTCATAATTTCTTTCTCATTATTTTTTTATTGGCATACCCCCCCTTCGAATACCCAAGTTTTTAATAAAAGTTTTATTAAAAACTTGGATATTCGAAGGAGAAAAGGAAGGATTTGTTAGGTTAAAAAATAATAATTGTGTAGACACGAATGCACACACACAGATTTGAATTTGGATTCGGTAGAAAACAAGGCTGTTGTTTATGTGGGATGAAAAACCGACGTTCGCCGATTGCATTTTAACGAATAAAATCAGAAATTCATAGAAATCCATTTATTATTTATCAAACAATTACGGACTATTGCGAATGCCGGTCTGAGAACAGATTCTAAATCTCGACTCGGCAAACCTCATTCTCTCGGCAATTTCGGCAATCACGTCCGTTGAGATCGGAGTAATAAATTTTACACACCTGAAAATATATAATGCGCCACTGTCTGCGTCCTGGCCTTTAAAATTAACATCAATCGCTACCAATCTTTATCAAATTATACTTATTTATCGCAACACTTTATCTGTGGTTGAGTAAGTCATACAACTAATGCATTACTTGTTAAAATTAAAAATTAAGTAAGTGGATTATTGTGAGCTCTTCCGGAGATTCAACATGGACCGTTGAGATAGTAGTAGAGCCTGTCAAATAAAAATCTTTCCCAAGCTTCAACAAAATAGCAACAGATAATTAACCGTAGCATCAAAAGACAATAACCTACACTAGCGTTACACTTCGAGGTCCTCCTCTGGTCCCTCAAGTTTGACGAGACCCGCAGATTTAACGTAGAACTCAAACATTCGACTGAAGCAGCGCGAAGGAAAACGAAGAAATGACAAGTAGAAAAGAAAAGACCGAAGTTCTCTCCGGTCGGCGAGAATGAAACGTCAAGCTTCGCAAATAGTCGGATAGCCGAGCCCAGCAATATTCTCCGGGAATTAATGAGAAATATTTCACATTCATCCGCTCGAGAACCCTTCGATCGTTCAGATCGATCCGAATTAATCCCGGTCTCGTCGCTTTCGAGCTGCTCCAAGTGACCCGCGGCGGCCATAGATCTCGCCCGGTTTCCAGCTTGACCCGATCCACGAGCCACGAGAGACGCGACGATAATTAGTCGGCTGCGACGGCCATTAATGCGCCGCGCTCTGTTCTGTGTGTGTGTGTGTGTGTGTGTGTGAACGCTCTTATCTAGATTACCTTTAAACGTGACTTATTCGGTAAGTACGCCGAAACGGCTGAACGACGCAGCGTAGCCAACGTTTTGTACCTTGCCTCGTGACGGATGCTCCGTGAATGCCCATTTTCATCGTCCTTTGCCGATCGGGGGAGATCACCTGTCGTGCGCGCCGCGCTCGCCATCGTTACCGTTCGTTCCGCGCGAATATCCTCCGGACCGGTCGTGCTGCCGCTCGCGCGACGCGTCTCTCCATCATCTTCTCTCTCTCTCTCTCTCTCTCTCTCTCTCTCTTCCTCGCGCGCGCGCGCGAAACGGATCGACGGAAAGCGAAAATACAGGACGACGACGTCGCCGCGCGTCCCGACGAGATTGAGGTACGATCGAAAGAACGAAGAAGAAAGAGAAAAAGGTTGTAGCGGGAAGAAACGAGCTTGCTGTCGCTCGCTTGGACTCGCGCTCCCAAGAGCGCACTCTGGAGAGAGAAATGATAAAGCAGAATGTGTTTAGTAAGATAAATTATATTTCTCAAGCGTCTCAATTCGTCTAACACTTAACGAATAATCGGGACACGTCGGAGGCAAGAGGATCGTACGCGATTCTGTCTCTTTCTCTTTCTCTCACTCTCTTTCTTTTCTCTTTTCCTTTCCTTTCTCTTCGTCGCGCCAAGTGAACACGTGCGATTATCTCGCTTCTGCCCGGCGACCGCGCGCGCGCGACGCTCGCTGGGACATCTCGAGCGACATTACGGCCGCCCTTTTGCCTCGGACCGTTTCCACTGAATATTCTCTATATATCCGAACATTATACTTGAAAAAGAAAGAAAAATGAAAAGAGACTTTCTCCTTCACACACACATGTATATATATATATATATATATATATATCTATGTTCGATCGACGTAACGTGACTCTTCTTGTGAAAAATTAACGCAATCGTTTGTTTGTTTTTATTCCTTCTTTTCTTCCGTTTCCCACGTTCCCGCACGTTCCGATCGTCTCTCTCTCTCTCTCTCTCTCCCTCTCTCTCTCTCTCTCTCTCTATCTCTCCCTAATAATAAGCGTTGAAATCATGTGGCCGCGAATATCCAAAATCGATTAACATGATAGAAAACAGTGTACAAATGTACGAGAAGACGCTGGTTGAAAGGTTCGCCGATAATCTCCTTCGACTACGCGACTTTTCTCGAGCTCGACGACGCACTACGGGGACAATCTTTGGCATACGACCGGCTTCCAGTTACCGTCTCGCGGTCGTCTCTGTCTGATATCCGAGGGAATGAACGCGCGACACATCGACTTAAAAATTCTATTTAAATACATACGATCTCGTAATCAACATTATCATCATCATTATCATCATCATCATCATCATCGTTCTCCTCCTCATCATCAATCGTCAACATCATTATCGTTAGCATCGTTATCAGACTCATCATTATCATCATCATCAACGTAATCATCGTCATTATCATCATCATTATCTTCTTCTTTTTCGTCTTACTCTTCTTCTTTTTCCGCTTCTTCTTCTTCATCATTATCATAACCGTCATCGATCTTCTTCGTTACATCGTAATCAGCTATAATCTCAGTTAATCGTATATTATCGGTAATAATAATGTTAATCAATAATATATTATTCTTATTATCATTAACGTGTGTGTATGTGTGCTTGTGTATGTGTGTGTGTGTGTGTGTGTGTGTGTGTGTGTGTGTATAAGTGTGAACGTGAAGGTGTATCTGCGAGTTTCCACGCGCGCGTGAGCGTGTCACAGCGCGTGTACGTGTCGCGCCTGCGAGCGTATAATCGTCCCATTAATAATAACGTTACAACGTGTTAATGATTCTATAAACTTACGAGTCAAGTATCAATAATAATGCGCCGCGTATGATATTCTCTTTTATATACTCTCGTACTCGCGCCCGCTCCTCACTTTCTCACCAATCACACACTCGCGCTCTCGCTCTCGGCCCTCTGGAGCCTCATCTCTCTCGCGATATCACACATACACGCGCGCACATACATACGCACACGCACACGCATACATACAAACAGACACGTACACACATGCACGCCGGGTCTCCTATAATAATTATAAGTTGAGTATATACTCAAATATACCCGAATACTCTGTATATTGTGAATCGTTTATTACTATTATTATATTATATTATTATATTACTTTTATTATTATTAATATTATTATTACTCTGTCTCTCTCGTGTTTTCATCTCTACAAACGCAACGTGCGTTTCTCGATTACAAAAGGAGGCTGAAAAGATTCTCCAAGTGAGAGAGCAGCGCGACCTCGCCGATCGATGAAACGCGACGATTGTGGTTCGTAAGTAACAATCTTCCCTTTACAATAATGAAAAAAAATGAAAAAAAAAAGAAGAAACAAAGGAACCCAATGTGCAGAATATTTCCGAGCGACGGATCGCTCGGAACTCACCGTTACGCTTCAGTAATGATACCAAAATCCGCACTTGAGAGTCAAACTTCTCCCGGAGAGAGAAGACCTCGACTCGTCAAAACTCGACTAAGGATCGAATGAAAATTCGCTTTTCTAAAGGAGACCAGATCTGACCTGCGCGAAGGATTCGGGAGCTGGCGCACAACGTGCGCCAGCGCGACCGCTGGCGCGTGAGACCGAGTCGAGGGGTCGCAGCTTGCGAGAAGCCGACCGAAGCGTCGTCTTTTTCTCCTTCTGCTTCCTTTTTTCTTTCTCTCTCTCTCTCTCTCTCTCTCTCTCTCTCTCTGTCTCTCTCAATTTTCGTCGATTGTCGATCTCGGGCTCGTGCGCTTGCTTCCCGGCGAGCACAAATCGCGAGCACAAATCGCGGCTCTCCTCGTGTGAGCGCGTGATAATGCGTGGCGAAGGAAGCCAACACGGCGTGACAGACGGCGAAGAGACGAAGAGACAGCGTGAAGAGAAGCGTTTCGATCCGAGACGAGTCTCGTTGCGGAGACGTCGCTGCGCTGCGCCGCGCCGTGGCGGTTGCCAACTCGTCTTCCGCTGAACGCGATTCCTCGACGATCGTGCCGATTAACCCCAACGGCGCCATGCACCCCGACACGCACGACACCCCTACCGAGGTTCTGCCGCGTCTCGGGATCTCCGGGAGATCCCTGGCGAATTTCTCCTCCGGAGACGCCATGAGCTCCAGAAACGACGGTTGCACGACACGAAATTTTCTCCGTTAAAGCAACCGTGATCTCCAGTCGACGGGGAAACGTCGAAAAGCCCGGATCACGGGAGGGGGTGGGGATAACACGAATAACACGCAGAGACTCACCTTTCCACGTCGGAGCTGCAGAATCATGCCGGCTCTCCTTCTCTCTCTCTTTCTCTCTCTCTCCGTCCGAGAGGCACGAGAGAGACGGCACACAAGGGTATCGTTCGAATGCCGCCGAAGACGAAGAGATAGAGAGAAGCCGAGAGTGTGCGGCGCAGAGCACACGAGCCGTGCGCATGCAACAGACAGGTCGAAACTTGGGAATATTAATCTCCGGCCGATTTCGTCGATTCGCATTTTCTCGACAAGAAGAACGGGCTTCGGCCTCGAACCGCGTGGTGACGAAAAACAAAGAAAAAAAGAAAACGGGTCATTCAACAGGCGGGAACGTGTCCTTCCGGTCCTTCGGCAACGACGAGGGAAACGAGTTCGTGCTGAAACGTCCGGAGCGATCAACCAGGTTCGGAGGCGAACGGGGAACGTGAATTCCTCGTCGCCTCGCGTCGCGTAAGAGGAACGGAGAGATGCGTCGCGGGTGGCAAAGGGACAACATCGCGGTCGATACCACTGTTCGTATGTATGTGTGTGTGTGTGTGTGTTTTGTGTGTGTGTGTGTGTGTGTGTGTGTTGGTGTGAGTGCGTGGTATCGGGGTTACTGGACGATGCAGCAGCAGGGGTTGCTCCCGAGGGTCGTGGTGGAGATGCCCCGCTGATGCTGTTGGTACGGCTGTCGTTGCTGTCGTGCCTGTCTGCTCTGCTGCTGCTGCCGCTGGCTCGTCGCCCTTGCACACCTCGTGGGCTATTGGTTCTCCAGCGAATAGTGTCGCGACCTCTTCCAGAAGCCCTTGAAGAAACCCTTCTTCTTGGGCGCGTCGCCGCTGTCCGCGCCTGAAACAGAAGCGGCGTTCCCGCTCGGTTAGCGAGTCCGTCTAGAGGGATTTATCTGACGTGAGCGGACTTTAGAGTTAGATCTGATTAGTTTCTCAGATGAGACGGACAAAGGATCTGAATCCTGAGCGTGGCCGAGCTGGGGGTCGCGCGCGGAGCTCGCCGGCGCGGGCGCGGCGACGAGGAGAGATGTCTCCATCAGCGGGGACTGAATACACTCATCCGGACATTCGGCTGTGTCAGGACTCGGCAAGAGGGAGGCCAGGTCGGGAGGCAGGTGTGCGCAAAGTCGCGAGCTGCAAGCGCAGATTCTCACCGCTCGATAGTTACAGAGCGATCGCATCGGAGGGCGCCGCGACCGGACGGGAACACGTCCGCGCTCGAAGGTGCGTTACACCGCCGCGACGGCACTGCGGTTTCGTTACCGCTGCTGGGTCCGCCGGGAACACGCTTTAACACGACTGACAATCAATTTGCCGGCGCGTTAACCGGCCGGCGAGGAGCCGGGGGAGGGGGGGACGGGAGCTCGCGCGCCGTCTCCGCGGCCTTCGTGGCGCGCGACATCGCGAGAGGCAACCTCCGTTACCGTTCTATCTCTTTCTTTATTCTTATTCGTTGTATCGCGCGCATGTCTCATTTACATTCGAGTATGTATCGAGCCGGTCGCTCGATAATTATTATCGATCCTTCAAATATCATGAGTCTTCGACGGTGGATTGCGGAAGCCGGATAAGAGCACTCGAGATGTTGATTGCGAAAACCATGAAACATCCACAAATTTTATATATACGAGTATATGTCAAAATTTATGATACAAAATAAATGATTATGTTATACATACAATTGCACCATATTATTATACAAAGAAATATTATATTATAATAATTATATTATAATAATTATATTATAATAATTATAATATAATATATTATATTATAATGATATTATATTATTATATAAGTAAATATATGTATGTGTAATTTATTTGATATATATACTGAATTAATATAATCTTTATGTGTATCATAAACTCTCATTTATACGCGATCTTTCTCGGACGATAGATATTTCCATTCGCGACCGAAGAAGATCGGCCGATCGACGTTTTCTCGTCAACAACAATTCTCAGTCCTTCTGTATCGCCTCGGAACCCTTTCTGTAATCGGTATCAGAGTACTCTCGCAATGGGTATCGATCGCCCGAGGGCTTGGTCGTCGAGCGAGAGAGCGCTCGTGGCTGGGCGGTATATCTGAAAATCGATGCGCGTGCCTGAAATCACCGAGTCCGCTCATCAGCCGGGAGACAAAGGACCCGGTGGGGCGAAAACGCCATCTATATTTCCGTCTTCGGCTCCAGATCGGACATCAAAGATTCGAAATGTGACACGTGGGTGAATCGGAGCTGTCCCTCCTAACTCCTCCTATCCTTCCTCTCCGCGCTGTTGATCTCAAACGACGCGTGGTTTGCCCCTTCGAGGCCGATCTGTGCCCCCTTAATGAACGACGATCGTACAATGGACATACAGACCGAATGCTCCTCTCGTTTGCGTCACACAAAGCGGTTAATCGGTTCCCTGGGGTTCCAAGGGGGTTTCTCGTCGGGGCAGGGAGAAAATGAACACGCAGTCGACCCGCCGTCCAGCCGCCATTGTCGTTCGAACTTTCGTGGAGATTTCGAGCCACTCTAAATTTCTCAAGGTGAAACTCGACTTGAGAAGTAGAGCGACAGTGTCGAGTCACTTGAATTCCAGTGACTTTTCACTCGTGCAGAGAGAATCGTCGGGTGAATAATTTTCGCGGGAAATTGCAGAGTGCATTGTCAGGATACGCCTGACAAATTGTCATTTATTTTGAGAGAGATTACGAAAAAGCAGAATACACACAGTTCAGCGTGTCTCTGAAAAACGTGTTTTTCCCAAAAGTATAAAAAATCATGAAATTTTTCATTCCAAATTTTTGCATCGTGCAAATTTAACGATTAATCTGATATTAATTCGTGTGTCTGCTCCACAAATAATGATATAAAAAAAGATATGAAAGTAAATGATTAAAAAAAAAAAAAAAAAAAAAAAAATGAAAAAGTGAAAAAAAGCACCAGAAGAAAAAAGAAAGATAGAAGAGAAAAAAGAAATATACTATAATATAATATAATATAAGTAATAATAGATTTACGTGAGACTAATTAAAAAAATTGTGAAACTCTCCCCACCGCGCGCGATTGTCGCGGCAATCATAAAAATCTATCCGGGCGCGAATAAAACGTCCAACCGATGTAGAGTTGCCAACTGTCCGGTTTTGACTCGGACTGTCAGGTTTTCAGAAGTCTTGTCCAGTGTCCGGTTAATTAGTCAAACCGGACGTCATATATGTCCGGTTTTTAAGTTATATCCAATCAATGGAATGAGAGTTCAGATTTTTCAGCAACGTTTCTCCGTTTCAAGCGCCTACAAACGATCGAGCGCCACGAAAAGCCATCTAGTAGATGATCTGCCGATCCATCATTCTATATATACATTTCATATATTAAGAAAGTAATAATTTATTATTTTATTCAATCAAATCTCGTTTATAAAATTGTTTGGAAATCAATATTGTAAATAAATTCTTGTCATATCTTGTATTTGATGTAACGTTATGATTATTACTTCTGTCCGGTAGTTTAGTCCGCTTTGGGTTTGTTACCAAAGAAGAAATGTCCGGTAATTTTTACTTTTGGATCTGGCAAGCCTAAGCCGATGTGACTCCCGTCGGATTTCCCGAGTCGCTCGCGACTCGCGGTCGAAGGCTCGCGTTATCACGCACATTATACACGCGTGCGCTCTCGCGTATTTCAACCACGTTTTCACGCGGCCGCACGCTTCGCGCTTAAACAGCGACGGGGCTCCGGACGATTCTCCGCCAGCGGCATAACAATGGCCCAGCTTTTCCGGTCAGCGTCGGATTAAAGGAGGAAACAACCAGAGTGTCGCGCGACAGGCATCATCGCGCCTGTTCTCGCCGGCCGGCGCGGCGTCGCGACGCTGTTCTCGTCGTCGTCGTCGTCATCGTCGTCTCCCGCGCGTAAATCCGTCCTTCGTGGAATCCCCCCTCATCGACGGCCGAATTATTTCTTTCACGTAGCCCAGCACCGGCCTCGTCGTCGTCGTCGGGGCGTATCGAGACCCCGGGCCCGTTCTCGCGCGTTTGTCACCCGGCGGATATTTCATCGGCCGACGTGTGTCACAAAACGCGTCGTGCACGGTGACGGTGAATTAACAGGCGTGATCGAGGATCACGGGGTGATCCTGACGCTTCAGCGATCGGCTTTCGAATTTCGAGGACCAGCGCGCTGGATTCCCGATGAATCCCGATGGTCGCGATAATAATTCCCGAAATTCGCTCGCCCGATCGCGCGAAGCGACACGAGAGAATTCTCGCGCTTTTAAAAGCGCGCTCTCTTTCCTTCCCCGATAGTCGCAAAACCACTGTTCATAAAATTACTACTACCATCAAAAGCACACTCGATATAATCAAATCACACAGGCTGAAATCGTACTCGTCTATGTTTCAAGTTGCGAATATCATAGGATAATTTCAATTGCACTTAAAAGTGACACTGCAAATCCATCATTTTTCAATCGTATTTTGGATTTTCAGAGGGCTCGCTCTAGAACGTCTAACAAATACTTTTAATCGGTCTCTCCTCTCTCTCTCTCTCTCTCTCTCTCTCTCTCGCGACTCGACAACAATTTCCAGGACGCGTTGCCAAGGCGCAACGGTAACCAGCGGTGTGGCTGGAGAGTCAAGCACATCCCAGCGATCGATTCTAACGTGAATTTTAATTCGCGCCTAGTTACGAGACCTCGGGCTGGACTTTCGTGTCCGGCATATTCGGCTGCTCGTCCGGCCGCCAATACCGCTCTCGTTACCGAGTCTCGATGCAAATCACCGAGGCGTGATCGCACGTTGATTAGGGTCGCGTCCAACATCGCCGCACGTCCGGGAGGCACCGGGATCGCGAGTGCGTCCGGACACGTCCATCGTCCCCCGGCAACGCTGATAATACCCGGTCGCGACGGCGGTCTACGCGTCTTCGATCGGCCGTGACTTTGAGCGGCGCGATAGCGTGTCAAGGTGACGTTCGTGCATAGACCTAGACGTCTGCTGGCGGCTGGTCGATCCGCGCGTGTTAATTGCGCGGCTTCCGCGCGCCACCGCGGCACGTACAGGTCGGCTCGTCGGGAGAGAGAGAGAGAGAGAGGGAGGGAGGGAGGGAGAGAGAGCGCACCTGGACCGAGTCGCGTCGGCGCTCGCAGACTCGAAGATCGGGCTCGACCAGGAGAGAGGGGACTCGCGTTGAGGAGGACGAGATGATCGCCTTCTTGGGAACACGAGGACCTTCTCCCGTGAAAGTGCGGAGTCAACGGCGCCGATCGACGCGTGGAATTGACGCGTGTGAGTGAATCCCCCCAGCGGTGACTTCGGCGGAATCTCTCCGCCCGGCAACTCTGAGCGATGAAGAGTGTCGTTGTCGAGTTGCGTTCAGAGCTCCGTGATGCAACGATAACGACATTCGTCGTTGGGTATATTCGATCGCTAAGAATCGGCAGCGAGTCATTTATTCTCGGTGTTGATGATGTTTCTTTCTGCATTCGATTTCTCGGTATACTTCGTGACATTACATCCCTGACCTGAGGTAAGTGAAACCGTCGTCCACATAAATGGACGACGGAAACTCACGTCGTCACCCAGGCACGCGTTAAACTGAAAGAAGAACGCGGCGATAACGCGTCCAGAACGAAGACGCCTTCAAAGATCGAGCCTGGTAAGACTAAAAAAGTAAAATGTCAACGTTTGCGTCTTCAGCGTCGAGATATGAAATGTTGTGACGTTAAATAAATTCGAAACGTCACGCAAAAGACGAGAAGTATCCGGCCTCATCGGAGAAAATGATCGACTCGTATTTCTCTCTCGAAATATGCGAATGGAAAAAGAAACTCTTCCTTAAATCATCCCTTTTCC